GATAAATTGGACTCTTTAATTGTCTGTAACTAACAATTCCACATATTAAAACACCCCGGTTCCCTTGTTTGCTATTTGATAACACAGAGCCATCTTATGCTTGTTCTTAAAATGGACTGGTTTGGAAGTGCTACACCTATCCTTGAGCAGTTAAAGGAATTTCAAGCATATGGTTCAGAGGTTGAAGTGAATGAGTTACTACTTGTGATTAGGTTTTTGTTCCTATCAGACATATTTAAGCAGTTAATCAACCCAGGAAAACTGACCTTGTCTTCACATAGTATTGTGCAAGTTAAACGTACCACTCTAACAACTCATAAAGCAGCTTTATATTAAAATACCAACCCCGATGTGTGGGTAATAGTGGTGATGGGAAATTAGAAGAGATATATTCACGATGCAGAAAGCAATTATGTCAGTGCTGAGCCTTAAAACACTAAAGAAATTCTGTGTGACTGAACCTAATAATTAGCTGATTAACACAAGCACTTTAGCAGGAAATAGTTGTGTATATCAGTTATAATTAATTTCTATCTTTATCACTTCACATATCTATGGCACCTCTGTACTCAGTAAAGCTACACTGACAGTCATCCTCATCTGAAACCACTATACTTCTCAACTTCTGTTTTTATGGTAATCAGATATCTACATGGAAGTCTTGCAGGCCATGTTCTTCCCTGTTGTAAATCAGCATAACTTCCTTTACTCCAGTAGGGGTACTATTGACTTACACCAGCAACAAAAAGCTCTGGTCCATTCTTTCTCCCTGTTCCTCTTTGTACGTGGTAATGAGCCATAATCTTCCTTCACCTCAAGTATTCCCACTTATATTATAGAAAGCCCTATAGTTCTGATTCAGTTTCCACAATATGCCATATGTTTTGCTTGTTCTGAGCACACACCTTTCTTGCTTAGGTCTGCAAATGTTCCCAGCTGAAAATGATGACTTCTTGCCACACACAGCTGAGTCCATACATTTCCACTCTTCACTGTGAAGAATCACTTGTTCATCTGAATATTTTGCTTAGCCTACATGACCTCATTATCACATCCAACTGATTAATTGTGCTATAGCAATAGCAATCTGCCAACATGCACAGTGCTGGAAGAAAGTTGCTTTTTCTTAGAACTCACAGCTGAGAAAGCAATGCAGTCTGAAGGAACTCGCTGCTCAAAAAGTGAGATAAATACAAAGAATGGAAGGAATTATGTAGGAACTAGGTGATAATTTATTTATAGGTCTCTGCAGAAACACTGAAGTTAACAAATTTACCATCTGTTAAATAGTCATACTATTCCTAAGTGCATATTAGCATTCCAAATGTGTGTCAAACACCTGATTTTAGCAATCTTATCTAATACTCTTTTTGACAAGCAACATCATGCTTTATTAGATTATGTCACGTTATATTATAAAGCTATGCTAGGTAACTGGGGGAACAGAGTGGCTGTGCTCTGTCAGTGTAAATGCCTGCTCAGGACAAAGAGAAGTGGTTTCAAGAAGTGGCCAAACTTGCAGAAGAAGAGCAAAGAAGTATGTCTAAATTTATATTAATCTTCACAGTTATTACGCATTTAAGATTTTAAGATTGCAATTAGTCACTGAAAATACACACCACCCCATAGATGCGAAAATGGCTGCAAAAATATTTTGGGTAAAAGAAACATTATTTCTGATGGTCCACTTCTTCTTTATTACCCTGGACTACATAAGAAACATTTAACTCATTATTATTGTCATCTGAATGAGGTGTCATAATATTTCACAGGAGACGTTGCCAGCCTGAGAAAGGGTCCAGTAAAGATGACAACAGAATTAAGACTGACTCCTTTAATGAGTTATTTTTATTTATTTTGCTTTGTTTTGCCTTTGAGGTTTTTATAATTCCTTATTACAGAAACACACTGAAAAAAAATATTTTTTTAATAATTATCTATCAAAATCAACTTCCAGTAGAAAAAAAGCATTCCTGTTTAGGCCTACTAACTTTTTGGAGGTGGCAGTTTCTGAAAGATGCAGTGTGATGAAGATAAGAGTCAAACATTGGAACAAATTCTCAAAAGAAAATTTCTACCTAGACATTTTTAAAACTGGATTAAATAATTATCTGCTTGGAAGGACATTGCATGCTGTTACCCATCATAGGCCATAAAAAAAAAAAGGAAAAAAGGATTAAATAACCATTTATGTGCCTCCATGTCTGCTTTATACTTGCAATTCACTAGTAAGCATAACGGGATGAAAATCTCTCCAGCAACAGAAAAGAGGAGCTGGTTTGTATAACCAAACTATAAACTTGCTAAGAAGCTCAGACCTCTGCGTACAGAATGATACTCAAAGGTGAAAGTGTAGATTAGAAATGCAAAGTCAAGTTTTCCCCCACATATACAATATAATATTGCTAATTATAACAGTGAATCCCGCAAGAAATCTAGTACTACTGCTTTTTTGTTAAGTCAGGGATACTTGTCATGGTTTTAATGCAGAAACAGACAGGTGATAGTTTCCAAGATGAGAGTAAAAAAAATACCATGATGTCCTGTCATTAGACTAAGGATTACTATTAGCAATTTATTAGTTACAAAATCTTTTCAAAAATCTATTAAAATTTCAGAGTATTACATAGTTAATTCACAATTGTCATGAAAATCTTTTGCTTCCATTGCACTGGATGGTTAGGGTGGTGAGGCACTGGGACAGGTTGCCCAAAGAAGTAGTAAATGCCCCATCCCTGGCTGTGTTCGAGGCCATGTTGGATGGGGCCTTGGGCAACATGGTTGAGTGTGAGGTGTCCCTGACAATTGCAGGGGGGCTGGAACTAGATGATCTTAAGGTCTTTTCCAACCCAAACCATTCTATGATTCCATAATTGTTTCTACTTCCTTTTTTCTCTCCCATTTTTTAGGTGTTTCGTAGCAAGTGAAATTTTGCTCTCAGGAAAAAAAAAAAAAAAGAAAAAGAAAAGACAGACCTGATTTACCACAGGCAGAAAGCATTGGAAACCACTAGCTAGACTAAGTGTATTTTGTATATTCCTCAAGAGTATGAGGTTTTAAAACTCCATTTTTACGTAGAAACTGCACAGCCTGCTTTGTATTAGCAGCTATATAAAGCAACAGCAAAGGGAAATGTAACCGTTTCTGTTTCTAGTGCCTGAATCCAAAAAGTTATCATTTTTTGCACCTTTCCAGTCTTCTATTTAACATAAACATTAACATTTGAGGGTCTTTATTTTTCCAAAGCTAGCCTCTTCTCCCAGAGGGCAAAGCCTCATGCCAGCCAACCCAAGCAAATCCCCATCTAATGTATTAACAATTATCCCTCTATCACTTTCCCACACAAATATTTTCTGCTGATATTTTCCTTCTCAGAAAACACTTAACCCACAGAGAACAAAAGACAGATAATAAATTTTCTCAGATTGAATTTTCAATACAATTAAATAATCCACTCATTAAAAGATTGGACCAGTAACTGTCTTCTAAATATGAACCCAAGCTCCAGTTAGTCATATTGCATCCATCCACTCTTTTCTTTTGCAATTAGTATTACAGGATGAAATAAAACAGTCTTTTTTTTTCTGGATTTTCTCCTTTTTTTTTTAATCTGTTCCCACAGCTCTCCCCTCCACCTCCCCACCTCCTGCAGACTGCAAGGCAGAGATCTAGCCAGCAGGCAATTAAAAGAACTTCAGAGTTTAAAACACTTTCCCAGTATATTGACAGGTACTATCTATTGTGGCTATGACAGAGCAAGGAAGTGCTACAGCTGGCTAATTCAATTCAGTCACCTCTGGGTAGACAATGTCTTCATAGGAGAGCAATATACAGGTGACGAAGAGGAGGAAAAGAAAAATTAACTGTGTAAAGTTCAACTAAGGGGTAGAAAATTGATATATTGACATAAATAGCTGAGCCCGTACAGGTAGCAATCATTATTGCTTTGACCAAAGAGAACTGTTTTCTCTCTATTGAACTCTGGATCAGGTAGTTGTTCAGTTGATGAAAAATGGAGCAATTGTTTGAGACAAAAAGCTGCAGCAAGGTAAATAAAATAAGCTTAAAAGCAAGCACTATGCTACACTGGCATAAAGAGATAGAATAGGAAGATGATACGATTACATTAAAATATATTTTCAAAGTATTTCAAGCAATCACTTTGGAAAGTACTCCGATGAAAGTAGAAAGTCTTCTCATTAGGAAGAGAAATGGACCAAAAAGTTAAAAAGTTTAAAAGTACATCTGTTGTGTCATGCTTTATAACTGAATTATTTAAAGGTAATGAGACTGCCAATACTTACACATTTCAGTAAAATGCAAGCAAAAGAGAGAATATGGTGCTAGATTCAGTATGGGAGATAGGCATGGGCATGTTTCTAAAGGAGATTTCTCTAAACCATCACATAATTTTCTTCTGAAAATATTCTCTTTCTCACCTTTAAAGCCAGTGACAAAGTTTAAGTCAATTAAAACATATCCACATACTGCAGCCAGCTTTAGGACAGAACAGACTCAAGAACACAACATACTTTTATCATGACTTAAGCACACACTCTGTGGGAGACCTGCTAAAGTTCAATTATCACTTGTATATATAGATGAGAACACCTGCTTTTATTTCTATAAAAAAAGAGAAACAATGAAAAATGTTTTTCTTTCTCTTGTAGATTAAGAATTTAATAAGCTCCCAAAAAAATGATGCTAGAAAGTCATGGAATAATACACTAGCTTTGTGATAAGGATATGTAAATACAAGCTTACAGGGTTAGAGTAGAACTACTTTATGAACAAGTACCTCATGATCGCCTAAAGATGAGATACTGGGTTGGACAAGCTATTTTTTTTCCATGTAGTGTGTCACTTCACATACTGGGATTATATGATGCTATTAAATATGTGAATATTTTCTAGCGTTACAGAGCTTCATAGCCTGGGGTGCAGTTAGGAACAGATCTGACAGATAATAACTGGGTCTTGCTTTCTCCTTCTCTCTCAAGATCTTGAAAATTTTGAAACAAAACCAAGAAGCACAGTGTCAGTCAGAGAAGGATAAGGAGTGGTTCTGCCCTGTGGTCCTCCACCACATTACAGAGGTATGGTGAATAACTACATACTGTGCACCCTCAGCATCAACTTGCTTGCTACTTCCATGCTGTAATTTGAATTCTGCATTTTATAGATTAGATTTGTCATGAAAATTTGTCTTCTATTCTTGAATACCCAATTCTGTCCTTCCCAATAATTGTAAAAGTAATAGAAACATGTAGATAGGAAGGGAATTCTGAAGAAGCAAACTTACTGATTAAAGGGGATTTGATTAGATCAGGTTGCCTGATAATTTTCAATCCTTCAAGTAAAGAACTAAAGAGTTTTCCTAGAGAATTGATTTGGAGGCACTTTGCATATGTTATCACTGCTCACTACTATTTCTTAACCATAAGGCTGTTTTGTAAGTCTTCCTTTCTGCAGAGGAAAAGTCCAGGTGACATGCAATGAACCAGTAATGTATTTAGGATTACATTTCATACTTTTCACCTAAGAAATCCCTACATATATGGTGCAATTTTCCTTCCTCCTCTCCCTCTTTTTATATGTGTATTACCACCTCCAACATTAGCACTTAAAGAACAATACAAAGGCTTGAACATACATGTACACTACTGTTGTGATTTTTTTTTTCTTAATACTTTTTGTACCTGTCAGAAGTGAAGCTCTTGAGTGACCTTTTGAGATTTATTTCCCCAGCATTAACTCTTGTAAGTTTTGAGTGATACACTTTCACTAAACTTCTCCAGGGGTGTTGGAATCAAGATCAATACTGCTCCAGAACCTTAGAAGCCTGGAGTAAGAACTATGGCTTCCTAACATAACTAGCTAAAGATAACTGGACTTTTACTGCAGAAAAACAAATACATATTAATAAAGAGAAAACATCAGTAGCATAGTAACTAAATTGTCTTGCCCTGGACTGAAAGAATCAGAAGTTCTTAGATGACTTATGCCCTGCTTTTGGCAGGAGTGACCACACATCCACAGGAGCTGCTGTTTATGTGCTAGCACCAACATCCTGCTCTAAGCAATGTTTCCTCAATTCTTAAAGAAAGAGAGTTATAAGAATTAGCAGGGCTCATCTGGAGAGCTTTAAACTAGATTTGAAGGGGGATGGGGTTGTACCTGGGCTTGCCCCAGTGGGGCAGCGCTCCAGAATTAATGAAGACTGGGAGGCCTCCTATAATCCTAGGGTGAAATCGGTGTGCTCAGCTCGCTCCCTGAAATGTCTGTACACCAATGCGCGCAGCATGGGAAATAAGCAGGAGGAGTTGGAAACCTGTGTTAAGTCAGGAGACTATGATCTGGTGGCAATTACAGAGACGTGGTGGGACAGCTCACATGTCTGGAATATAGTCATGGAGGGCTATGTCCTTTTCAGGAAAGACAGGCCAGCCAGGAGGGGTGGTGGGGTTGCTCTTTATGTGCAGGAGGAACTACAATGCACTGAGTTCTGTCCGGGGACAGATGACGAGCGAGTTGAGAGTCTGTGGGTGAGAATTAAGGGGCAGGCTGGCAGGGGGGATACTGTTGTAGGTGTCTGTTACAGACCACCAGATCAGGGTGAGGAAGTTGACGAGGCCTTCTACAGGCAGCTGAGAGCGGCCTCACAGTCACAGGCTGTGGTCGTCGTGGGGGATTTTAACTTCCCTGATGTTTGCTGGAAGGACCACTCGGCAACCCAGCCGCAGTCCAGGAGGTTCCTCCAGTGTGTGGATGATAACTTCCTCCTGCAAATGGTGGATGAGCCGACCAGGAGAGGAGCGCTGCTGGATCTCATCCTCACTAACAAGGAGGATCTGGTTGAAGCAGTAAGGGTTGAGGGCTGCCTTGGTTGCAGCGACCACGAGATGGTGAAGTTCAGGATCTTGTGTGGTAGGACTAGGAGAATACCAAGTAGAATTGCAACCCTGGACTTTAGCAGGGCAAACTTTGGCCTTTTCAAGCAATTGCTAGGGGAAATCCCATGGGCAAGGCTGCTTGAAGGTAAAGGGGCCCAAGACAGTTGGTTGACATTCAAGGACTGCTTTTTCCGTGCTCAAGATCGGAGCATCCCGACACGTAGGAAGTCAAGGAAGAGGGCCAGGAGACCTGCGTGGCTAAATAGGGAATTGCTGGGTATGCTCAAGTGGAAGAGGAGAGTTTACAGGTCATGGAAGGAGGGGCTGGCCACTTGGGAGGAATATAAGGCTGCTGCTAGAGGATGTAGGAAGGCAGCTAGGATGACTAAGGCCTCCTTAGAATTAAACCTGGTGAGAGGTTTAATTTAAAAAGGACAGCAAAAAGAGCTTTTTCAAATACATGGCAGATAAAACTAACACCAGAGGCAATGGAGGCCCACTGATGAACGGGGTGGGTGCCCTGGTAACAGAAGATACAAAGATGGCAGAGTTACTGAATGCCTTCTTTGTGTCTGTCTACTCTGCTGCAGGCAGTCCTGAAGAGCCCTGTACCCCTAAGACCTTAGATGAAGTCAGGTCAACGGAGCGGTTTGCCTTAGTCCATGAGGAATGGGTTAGAGACCAGTTGAGCAATCTGGACATCCAAAAATCCATGGGTCCAGATGGGATGCACCCGCGGGTGCTGAGGGAACTGGCGGAAGTCATTGCTAGACCACTCGCCATCATCTTTACCAAGTCTTGGGAAACGGGAGAGGTGCCTGAGGACTGGAGGAAGGCAAATGTCACTCCGGTCTTCAAAAAGGGCAAGAAGGAGGACCCGGGTAACTATAGACCGCTCAGCCTCACCTCCATCCCTGGGAAAGTGATGGAACACCTTGTCCTTGGTGCCATCTTAAAGCATATCAAGGATAAGAGGGTTATGAGGGGCAGTCAACATGGCTTCACCAGGGGGAAATCATGTTTGACCAATCTCTTAGCCTTTTATGAGGAAATAACACGGTGGATGGATGATGGCAGAGCGGTGGATGTGGTCTGCCTTGACTTCAGCAAAGCATTTGACACAGTCTCCCACAGCATCCTCACGGCTAAATTGAGGAAGTGTGGACTGGATGATCAGGTAGTGAGGTGGACTGTGAACTGGCTGAAGGAGAGAAGCCAGAGAGTTGTAGTCTATGGGGCGGAGTCTAGTTGGAGGCCTGTAACTAGTGGAGTGCCTCAGGGGTCAGTACTGGGACCAGTATTATTTAATATATTCATCAACGATTTAGATGAGGGAATTGAGTGTACTATCAGCAAGTTTGCTGATGACACTAAGCTGGGAGGAGTGGCTGACACGCCAGAAGGCTGTGCTGCCATCCAGGGAGACCTGGACAGGCTGGAGAGTTGGGCAGGGAATAACGGGATGAAATATAACAAGAGAAAGTGTAGAGTCCTGCATCTGGGCAGGAACAACCCCAGGTTCCAGTATAGGTTGGGAAACGACCTGTTAGAGAGCAGTGTAGGGGAGAGGGACCTGGGGGTCCTAGTGGACGACAGGATGACCATGAGCCAACACTGTGCCCTTGTGGCTAAGAAGGCCAATGGCATCCTGGGGTGTATTAGAAGGGGGGTGGTTAGTAGGTCGAGAGAGGTCCGCCTTCCCCTCTACTCTGCCCTGGTGAGACCCCATCTGGAATATTGTGTCCAGTTCTGGGCCCCTCAGTTCAAGAAGGACAGGGAGCTGCTGGAGAGAGTCCAGCGAAGGGCAACGAAGATGATTAAGGGAGTGGAGCATCTCCCTTATGAGGAAAGACTGAGGGAGCTGGGTCTCTATAGTTTGGAGAAGAGGAGAATGAGGGGTGACCTTACTAGTGTATATAAATATATAAAGGGGGAGTGTCACGAGGATGGAGCCAGGCTCTACTCAGTGGCAAACAATGATAGGACAAGGGGTAACGGGTACAAACTGGAACACAAGAGGTTCCACTTAAACTTGAGAAGAAACTACTTCTCAGTGAGGGTGACGGAACACTGGAACAGGCTGCCCAGGGAGGTTGTGGAGTCTCCTTCCCTGGAGACATTCAAAACCCGCCTGGACACATTCCTGTGTAACATTATCTAGGTGTTCCTGATCCGGCAGGGGGATTGGACTAGGTGATCTTTTGAGGTCCCTTCCAATTTCTAGCATACTGTGATAAGACAAATTCCTATGAGAACGTGAATAGTGATCTATAAAGAGGATGTAGTATATCAGAGATGTAGAGAAACCCATCAATCAATTCAAAGCCCGCAAGTCTTGAACAGGGAGGAAACATCAGTTCACTTAGTGTTTACAGCCATATGAAAGAAGTATATAATCAAGGAGATTAAGTGAAACCTGGTCCTTAAGGGCAGAAAAGGCTTGATGTATCAATGGGACAGAGAGACAACACATCCATCCTGGAGTCAGTAAGCTATATATTTTCCTCTTGCTGTAGGGTAAAATTATGATTTGACAAATAGAAATGAGTAGAAGAAAACATTCAGAACAAATAAATAGTTAACAAGTCAGTTCTCCCCAGATTAATTGAACTGACAAAACAGTATCCATGAGCAAAGCCTTAGCCACAGTGTTTCCTAAGCTGCAGATGCAAGCTGTTGACCAACAGGCTTGAAAAATATATCATGTGAAATAGCAAGGCTCTAGAAAACAGAAACTGAGTTCTTTTTGTCATCCAGAAACACTGTATTTATGATTCAAAATTATATGCTATGGAGATGAATTACATGGTGTGAATTTGATAAATTGTATAACATCTCAGGATGCTTAGGCAGTTTTTATTAAAAGGACTGTATATATAGGGTTTTAATTGAAACCTTTGCCTCAAACATACAATACCTACAGGAGAAAGGATTACTAACCATGCATACAACTTCCATTACAAGCATGCTGCACAGTACTTTATGTGTGACAGGAATTAGTTAAACACAGACCAGCAGGAAAAGAGTCACCTTTCCTTATAATGTAAACAGAAGATAACACATCTTTATAATGTGTCCTATATACCAGGAAGCAAATTGTTTTTAGAATTTCCTAGCCAACTTAGGAGATACAGCCTATAACCAATGCAAACTTTTTGTTAGTATGAGCATTTACAAGGAAATCAAGGCTACCTGTTCAGGTGGAAAACACCAACTATGCTCTTAAAAAGAAATTATCCATGTCATTGAAAAGGCACCCAAGGGAGCCAGAGCAGATGGATACAGTCCTTCAGGCACTCCTCCCTATAGATCAGGTGCTGCTTTCCTCAGGATGAATCACTTAACAGACCTGGCCCTACCCACACATTACAGAGGAAAGGCAACATGGTTCTGATGGCTACTAGCTTGCTTTCCTTTGACTTAAAGGCAGAAAGTCTCTGTACAGCAGTTGTTAGTATAGTATTCTGGAATAGGATGCAAATAAAACCTCCTGCCTTCCTGATAACCTAGAAAGTCTGTATCTATTTTTTCAAGTAAAAGACAGAAAAGCAAGAACCTAAGAAAGCAAAAAGTTTATTGCCTTATAACATCAAGAAGCAGAACTACATAGACAGCATGAGAGCTTAAGAGATATTTCTGACATCTTTAGCATCTAGAGAAATGTTTCACATCTTTCCTTCTATCACTACAGGGACCAAAACATTGCTATTCTTACCTAGCCCTTTAGCAAGGGTTTTCAGGCAGTCTAAAGTTAAACTTTCTGCGAGGTTCACATGAAAGCAAGCACTGAAGATATCATTAGGCTGTCTATTATGTGCTTTATGTACTTTTCCACATTCAGAAACATTTTAAATGCTTAAAGCTTAACAAAGCTTAGTTTTCTGCTACAGGTGATAAGAACAGCTCCGCTACTGTTTTTATGTATATACATCTCTTAACTGACACGGCAAAGGCAACTTTTTGCTTATACAAGAGAAACAAGTATTTCTCATCAGCAATAGAGGATACATTAAATAACATGTTGATAAAAACATAACAAAAACAAACAGAAAGAGTGCTCCAATGGCTTTCACATCAGCTTTATACCTTAAATTAACTCTCAGAGAACAATAAAAAATAATATTTGGAAATGTCGCATTAAGGCTGTACTAAAACACTTAACACCAAAAGAGAGCTAACTTTATATTGCTATGAACAAACATTAGCACATCTAGCAAAAATAAAACACAAACCTACCTTTCAAAGGCTTAGCTTATACTTTAGATCAAGCAAGCCATTAAAAAGCTGTTACAGCTAATGAACAAAAAACTACAGCCTGTAATAAGCTTTTGAAAGTAAAAATAAAGCTTCCCCATGTTACTTACCCCAGCCTACAACCCCTCCTTTCTTCCTTTAGCCCCTTCTTGCCTATTTATGCACCAGCCACTCTCCAGTTGTTGTTATTTATGAGGCTCATTAATACACCTTGTAAAGTTCAGCATGTGAGTTTCCTCTGCTTGTTAGCGAGGCTCTGGAGTGCAGGGGTGGGAAGGGAAGCTGTATTTCTTTCTCTGAGAAGTGTCTCTTCTCTAGCTTAAGTTCTTTAGGTCAGCTGATTTTTTTTTTTTCCACATGTAATCAACATATAACATTATTGTATTGTCTAAAGGTTGCTTTTTGTACGGAGTTAATACTTGTAGACAGAAGGCAGGGAGCTTGAAGAAGCCTTCATTTCTCTAGCTGTGTATAAGCTTGACCTGACTATGATTAAGGAGTTGCTGCTTAAATGGTAATACTTGACACAAGTTTGTAAGATGGATTGTTGTTCATTTATTTTCTTAGAAGTGAAGTCTAATGTAAGGCCTAGTTCCTTCTGGGTGGTTCCCTACAGAGCATTAAGGAAGTTGCTAATCTTGTTAGGAGCAGCAGGGTCCCTTATGCATTTGCATTTATGTGTCTGTAAGAGCTGCCAGGATTTGAAGCTGGGATGCTGAGTCTGTAGGCTTTTCTCTGTGCTGACATTACTACACCAAGGCTACATTAAAAAAGTAAAAGACTTTCAAGCAAGAGCTCTATGGATCTGCTCAGTGTGTGAATATTCCAAATCCTCAGACATCAGAAGGGTGGGGAAGGAGGCGCAGGTGAAATCATGATATAGGAAACTGGGTGTGTAGAAAGGACAGGATGAGACAAGTGGTGCTGCTTTATGTAAAAGGGTCTTTGACTTCTGCCTCGAGTTGCTTCTGCATTTTATACAAGAGCCTACTTGATAAAATGTGTAATGTTAAAGTGAAGGTTTGAAGTGTATCACTGTTTATAGAGCTGAAAACCTTAGTCATGGGTTTAGAGTCCTTTTCTCTCTGCTGTTATTTCTCAATGCTCCTATGAATCTTTAATCCCTTCCTGCCAGCTCTGTCAGGAGAGGGAGAGTTTCCTCCTTGAGACCAGCCTGTAGCTGTTCTCTGGCAGAATGAGCAGAATTGATTTGAATTTGCTTGGGCTGAGGAAACTGCTGAAATGTTCTATTCCCTAGACTGGTATAAAGGGAGTGATCATCAGCTGCTCTTCTTTCCTAGCTGTGCTCTGACAGAAAGTGTTCATAGCTGATGGGCATAGGTGATGCTGTCCTGCCTGGCCAAGCTTAGGACTTGCCTACCAGGCAGTGCCTGGCTGGAAGGTGAGTTGACCTGCTTTTGGGGGCCTTTAGAATGAAAAAGGATACTGACACCATACAATCACCTACCTTGGATTAAAAAAAACCCCAAACCCATACACACCCTGGGATCGGAGAACTGAAAACCACACACACAACACCCTGTGATCAGTGTACACCTCTGGAAGGGCTTCCTTCCTCAGTAGCTTCTCTCCATTATGCCCCATTATGTAGCTTTACCTCACACATTTATTGTTCAAAAACATTAACTATAGTGAAAAGAGCAACAGGAAAATTGGGCTATTTTGTCTGGTGTAGAAAAACTTCTATTCCCTCTCTTCAGGCATGTTGGTTCATCTTCAAAATCATGTGAAAAGTGGATGCTTTGGAGGGAAAGTTACAGCCAAACAGGCTTATGCATAAAGGAAGAAATGAAATTGAGAAAAGAAGCCCACAAAAATCTTTGGTGCTGATAAAGGCTAAGACTCGTGTAAAACCTTTTATGCTGAAACCCTCTCATAGCAGTCTCTGAAATCCAATAATACTGATGCTGTGATGGATATGTCGTGTGCTCCTAATCATTGTCGAGAAATCCTGTGGTTAAATGGGAAACAAAAAAAAAATAAAAAAAAACCCTTACGATTGTAACTTTATTTGTTCTTCCATAAAATAGCTGGCAGCACAATATTGAGGTTCATTTAAGCTAGACTTTATTGTGAGTTTAGTATCTCTTTACAATTTCCGTTCTATGCCTCTACTACCTTCTGTTCAGCATCACCTTCACCAGGCTCTTCCCAGTTTCTGATGTACTTACTCAAATGAATGTAACCCTGAAAGTGATAGTGTGGGCCTTTTGTTCATTCAATGGGCCTGATATATGCCTGATTTATTCAAAGTGACCCAAAATGGAAGTGTTTAAGTAGTAGTAGCTTCTTTTGTAATGCAACATTAAATTTTCTAGTCTATTATATCTTTTGATGTTGTCACTTAATTTTTGTAAAGAAAGATATTCTGTAAGGGATCATTCTGCTGGTATTATGCCTTAGAAGACAAAAAAGTTTGATCTCTGAAGTCTGGTTCCTTTCTTATGAGATTTCATCCAAATCCTGTTGAAGACAATTAAAATCAGGGTTTCTACAATTTAGTGTAGCTGAATTATGCTCTAGGCAAGTATGGCCTGAGGATTGGTGGTGATGAACCTGCAGTTAGAAGAGTGGTGATGTTTATATCCCTTATTCTCAGGGGAAAAGGATTTAAACTGCACTTGTTCCCAGTTAATGGGAAAATTCATCAATAGGCCCTAAGGCAATGGTGGAGTACAGGACAGAGAGAGTAACAAACTTCAGAAAATGAAGTCAGCTGGAACCCCCTGAGAACTGAAATCAGGACAGACAAGGACCGCTTCTGTTTTACTTATTGTTTAATTCATGGACTGACCTCATGAAGAACGTCTGTGTAGCATAAAGTTGGTTTTAATAGAGTTTTATTAGGAATCATACATTCTAGCTGCATCATCAGGTCATACAGTAAGAATGTGTTTTGATTGCATACCGTAACATAGTTTAAAGGTCCTTAATGGACATCTATTTGATGTCTTATCAGATATGGTGGTACCTTGTTAGAGTGAGTCAGTGCTTTCTTCAGCCCTGTAATTCCCAGCACCAGAACTAGATGTTGGAAAGGGAATACCCAAACTCCTTTTTCATATTAACTCATCTTTTAGTTTACCTCCAGTTTCTCATTAGATACACTATCCTGTCACAGAAGGCTGGGAATCCAAATATCATGTTCCAGCTGCTCAGTGCATTTCTGTTGCACATAAGCCCTTATGTGCCTCTGTGTAGGTCTGTGTGAGGAGGAAAGCAAGAGTTCCAGCTGTCATGAAAGGGGGGTCAGGGTGTAAGCCCTCAGGTGTTCTGAAATCTGAAGAGGTTTCAGATTTAATGTTTTTCTTCAAAAATCACAAGTTTACAACCTGTTGTTTCATTGAACAGATTATTTACCCTTTTTCCTTACAGTCCCTCACTTGCAGATTAAAACTTCAAAAAATTAGTTGAAACCAGAGCTTTGCCTACTCATCACTTCAGTCTGTTTGTATAGCCAGACTGTAGCCACTAAACTTTGTGCATGAGACACAAGCACAGTGAGGACATAGTCTCTGGAAGATATATCAGGTCATAGCTACATCCCATCATTCTAGCTATAGGCTGATCCTACCTGTGGTAAAACTGACCCTGCTTCAGATATTCTTCTGTAAATAGATGCTTAAACCAGGTATCTAGAAGTACATGCAAATGTGAAAACAGGGTGTTTTTATCTCGTGCGTATACATAACGTATATGTACACACAAATTATAGTACATTATTTTAGGGCTCATATCTTCTAGTTTTACTGTACCCTGGGAAAGAAGTTTAGTGTTAATCTGTAGTAAACCAGAGCCTATTTGCAGGATTTAGCCAAGTATAGAAAGTGTCATTGATTGCTCCCTGAAGATGCATAATTTGTAATGAGAGTCCTAAAATGTTAGAAGATGATAACATAAAAGTCCACAAAACTACTAGAGTTTGCAGACTTATTGCCGTACAGTACCCATGTTGTAACTGGAGGGAAGGGGGGCAGGGAAAACATAAATAATCTTTCAAATGGGATTGTTGATAGGGAAAATATGTAAAAATGAAGCTGTTGGCAGAACACTGTTAGCTTATGAATTATACATTTAATTAAGGACAGCTAAACCGGTAGGTTTTGAAAATTCTGATTTACTGTGTCTTATTAAAGACAGAATTCCAGTCCTGCTTCCCACTGTGGGGTGCTGGCACCGATGCAGAGCAGCTGCAGTGTGGGGCTGGCAGAACACCTCAGGTGTACCCACGCTGTGGTATGCTGTGTTACAAGCACTGAACCTACCTGCTGGCAGCATAACAAGGCTTGTCCAAAGAGCCCATCTGAAAAGAAGAGCCCTTGGATGGTAATCCCACAAGGCGATCTGCACTTCCAGGGTGGGCTAGTCAAATAGTTTTAAATTGCTTCCAAAATATATGCATGCAGCTGAGCTCTCCTGTCATGATAATCTCATGATAAAGCTCCATGTTACCAGTTTCCTTTTTCCACATTTGGAGTAAAGAAAGGAGCTGTAACACCGACCAGCAATTTACTGTCTGGATGTTCATAGGGAAAGTGTTACAAGCAGAAATTATTTACCAAAACAGTGCTCTCATGGCACTGCAGCACTGCCATTCCTACTTAAAAATAGGCTAAGCAGGAAAATGAAAAGTAACAGGGGGCAAAAACTTTTTTGACCTTCTGAAGTGGCTTGAAATGAGTTTAAAACTAAAGCAATGCTTACCTTGTCTTTACTAATTTGTGCATCCTCAGTGGTTTGCCCTATAGCTGACTTGTTTCAACTGGCAATATTGCACTTAAGCACTAATGGGAAGCAGATTATATGGGAAAGGATGCATGATATGTATCTGGTGTTTTCTAGGCTTGTCCTATACATGGATCTTCAACAATATCTTATATGTTCAGGAAGATAGCTGCTGCTTTGTTTCTCAAGAAACCAGAAATCTGTACCTTGTCAAAGTAGAGCCATCAGATGTGGGTAACTACACTTGTGACTAACTCCAAAGCAGATCAAAGTGTGCAGGGGCTACCCACTCCTCTCACTCTCCGCAGTGATGGTAAGTTATCTGGGCATCCTTGGCTACAGATGTGCAGCACAATCCTAACTGGTGTACCTCCAGATACCGCTGTACATCCTCATGGAGGTGAAAGGCTTCCAGTAAAAAGTTATGCAGGGACATGATTGTCCAGCTTCTGCTGGATTGAAATGACATTTGAACTGTCAGGACTGGGACGATGAGTTAAATGTATGTAAAGAAAGCAGTGTGCAATATCATTGAAAAATAACATGAGAATGTCAAATGATACACTAATATTTTTCATCTTATGAATGCCTGTGTTGAGGTTTAAATCTGCCCAAAGCTTTCTAAATTTATAATCTAAGTTTATCTCAACTATCAAATCTAGAAAGGTGTTTCAAAGTGAGTCATTGAGGTGAGAAATTCACCTACATATACACAAATAACTTTCTGGCAATACTTCCAATTAAATGCTCACAGTCAGAAATATATACCTAGGAAATCTTTACACAAAGTTCAGTTTGTAAGTTTGTTCATCTAAATTTCAATATACTTGTACTGTTTGCAAAACAGTGGTGACAATCAGTAACAGAAGTCTGTACAGAGTTAGATTTCTAAGGTAAATAAACTCAACCATGCATTGTAGAATAATACTTCCACTATGAAACTGTGCTGCTTTATAACATAATTGGATCACCCAAAACAAAGTTATAGTTCCACGGTTCAGAAGCTAATAATTTGGTATAGCTGCAATTGTAAATGCTTAAGATCCTTTCTGAATATTTTCTTCCTTTCAATCACTCTACTTTATTCTTTTCCTCAGAATTGTACTATCAGTTTTTTCATCTTCTCCTGTTCACTTTGGTGGCCTCTGGATTGTGTACTAAATATGCAGCCTCTAGGGGTGAATTTTATGTGCATTAGCCAGACCCCTCTTAAATATAAAATAAGAATCAGTTCATTTTCTGGACAAAGACACTGTACAGGAACACGGTAGAATAGTTTGGTTTGGAAGGGACCTTAAGGATCTTCCAGTCCCAACCCCCTGCCACGGGCAGGGACACCTTCCACTAGACCATGTTGCTCCAAGCCCCGTCCAACCTGGCCTTGAACACTGCCAGGGATGGGGCAGCCACAGCTTCTCTGGGCAGCCTGTGCCAGTGCCTCAGCACCCTCACAGGGAAGAAAATGTCTGATTCATATGAACCATTACTGTTGAAATGAGTTACATTTAACAAGTTCAGCTGAAAGTTTAGTTTGCTAAAACAATCCCAAACCAGTTGCAAAATTAATGTCCTAAGCTGATGGTTTATCAGATGTTAAACTACAGTTTCAGATGTGGTAATTACATGTAATCAGCCTTTCTCAGGTCTGGAGCTCATATTTGGATGTTTGAAAGTCTTAAGTCTTTAGTATTTTGGACACAGAATTCCATAATTGTATCCAGAATAGAACTACTGTCCTAAGAAGTGAGCAATGTTAAAGGCATTGCTGTTCACACGTTGAGATATAAATCCTAATTTATATCTAAAACCTTAATGCACAACGTACTTGTAATGTAAGCCACGCTCTCCAACATTCAAATGCGCAGAACTCACAGATTTCGCATAAGCTTTCAACATAGAGTTGAACTTCACCCAAAAGGCTAAGTCTGTTCCATAGACATAATGTGTTGATTGCCATGGGTGGAACATAAGGCTCTAACATTATTAATACCATGCTTTCTTTTACACTGAAATTCTGTTGCACTAGGCAGGTCTTAGGCTCAACTGGAGTGCTAGCTGTTTTGATGTTCAACAGGTGTGATGGGGGAGTATGAACCAAAGATTGAAGTGCGTTTTCCAGAAACAACATATGCAGCAAAGGGCTCATCTGTTAAACTGGAATGCTTTGCCCTTGGAAAGTAAGATTTTTGTCTTCTAAAAATGTGGGTTCTAAGGTTCTAATGTTGTTCTACTGTGAGAAGAAATGGTTCTTTCTAACTTGCACAGTAGAACTCATTTGGTCAGAATGTGAATTTGTGAAACTTACTTTTTTTCTTGTAACCTTATCTTGGTTTGATTGTTTCTGCCCTATATATTCCCAGGTATATGAAACACAACTACACCATAACTGAAGCTCTCTTGGCTACAGCATAAAGCTGGGTGGAGGAAAGATAGGGAGGGAAAACTGGAACAGGTATTGTATTCCTTAAGAGCAGTTTTTACTTTGAGATGAGATCTTACTTCTGGTTACAGCATTTAGTGTAACTACACATTCACATCTTATCCTTATCAAAACAAATGCTTTCTTGTATGGCATTGTTAAGAATGAAACTTGGAGAAACAGGCTGTGTTTCAAAAGCATGTAGACTGTGTAGAAAGGATCTAACACATGGCTCCCAGCACCTACACGGTAATTTTGAGGAACCCTGTGAAGCCCTATCAGCAGCCCTTCTTGCTAAAGTCTACAGTTCTATTAGGCTTGCAGTAGCCTATGTTTTTCCTATGTTATTTTTGTTGTATTCATTTACAGAAGTAGTAGTGCATTCAAACAGTAAGGGGTGCTCTGTATTCAAACAGCAGATAGTTAACTGAATAAATGCAACCAGCCTACTAGTCTTTCCAATGAGCAACTGTTTTTCCTAGAAAAGTTAAAATAACCTCACATTGTTGACCTCTATTTAGTTTAAGTTTACCTCAACAACCCGTTTTAAGGCTATAAGCTTTTAAAGTGTTTAGAGCTTTCCCAGAGGTTAAAAGCCTTACTTGCAGACAGCACAAATTAATCAATGTTCCTCTGGAACCTATGCTGGGAAGTAGAAAAATAAAGCAAATAAAAAGTTAATAAGACAGGAAATGGCCTTCCCTTTCAGATGAGATTTTTATATAAACTAACCTTAGGGCTAATCTTTATTTAAGACATATGCATTTTTTTTTTTGGCCCCAAACAAGTACCAGACTGGAATATTCCTGCTAAAGCTGATTCTTCCTTTCCAAATACTGTCAAGCTACTTCTCTTTAAATACCTCCTTAATTGTGTGTGAGTCAGTGCAGGCTTTGCTTTTCAAGTTGTCATTTTACATTTCCATCTGTTGCATGGAAAGCATTTAACAATGATACATTGACTGCAGAAGAGCATTTCAAAATAGAGCAAATGGTATCTAAAAAACAGTGCCTTCTTACTGAAGGGGTAAAGATGGGTCATGTTAATGTTGAACACAGGTTTTGCCACTTTAAGAACATCTTGAGGGGAAAAAAACGGTGGATTGAAAAGACAGATAATGAAATCCCTCAGTGAGCACAGACCCTTCTGTGCTGTGCTTGGAAAATGAAATGGCTGAGGGGGTTAATGCAGCTTGAATATGCATTTTTCTTCATATATAGGACTACAGCTGAAACCTGTGCTGCCGTATATCCCTGGAGTTATACTGCATAAATAGCAGTAATCCATGGGGTGAAAATCCATTCTTCACAGGTTTATTATATAATACTGTTAATGTGCATCTAGTTTAGTGCATGTGTTTGAGAGATGCTGTTGTGAGTAAAGGCTCTTTAGTGGTGTCACTGGAGAATTTCTCCTCTAGGTTGTTTTTTATTTACAGATGTCTCATACCCAAATGTACTTTTTCAGTCCGCTTTTTCACTCTGAACAGACCTTGAACCACACTTTCACTAATGTGTCAATCAGTGAAAAAGCTTTATTTCAGAGCTGGCATTTATATGTGAATAAAGCAAGAGAAACAAATTCCAAGTGAAATACTCTTAACTTATTAGGTAAGGCCAGATTTCTAAAGGTACGTAGGTGATCAGTGGTAACTTTAAAAGCTTTAAGTTTCCTACCTCCAGCTGTTTACAATTGCAGCTACGCACATAAATGCAGCAGTGTAGCCATCGGCACCTTTAGATGCCTAAATTCCACTAAAACTCTAGCCTCTACTATTGTCTGTTTACGTTAAAATCAATTCAACTCAACATTTGTTGAGCTATACCTCTGATCTGTCACAAGCACTAAAGGTTATTATCTCTCTTGGATTTCAGAACTGCTTTCCCATTATCCATAATTTTCTATATTCATACTGTTAGTCCACTGGTTCAGACAATGCTGTTAGCTGCTACTACCTCTGTGCTATGAATAACAGAAATCTTTCACATCTAAGACAGATTATAGGCAACCTGCTGTGGTTTTGGTCTCCAAAAATCTTAAATGATAGTACTTTCATGGTGTTTAGAGAAATAGCATCTCTTTTTCTGTATGGAACAGCAAATCATACCTATTGGACTTTATTCAAAAAACACTTTCACATTTAAAACAAGAGGCCAGACTTATGGCTGAGTTTTAAGATGCCTTTTTAGCTGGGAAAATTCAAAACCATCTAAGTACTCCTACAGCTAGGCATGGGACACCCAGGGACAGGTATATTCCACAGAGGTCTATTGCAAGGCTCTCTTTTTTGCATTTTACATGGAAATATCTCAAAATTGTCATCTAGCCCAGTCATAAACTTTAGCTTGTTTTCAGTAAAATAAATATAAGGAGGCAAAAGAGTCAGTATTTATTTCTGGGGGGAGGGTTTGGAAGGATGGATCCCAAATGGACAAAAGCACTTGGGCAAACTCTTGACTCTGAATCCTGCTTTGTAGAACAGAGACCATGAATAGTAGAGAAGACTTTGAAAAGTAAATTAGTCCTCACTGTGATGGGAAGTACGATTTGGCAAAAGGGAATGTGTGCAGTATGTGACTGCCTGATGACTGGCAGGGGGAATCTAAAAAGGGAAAGAAAAAAAAGCCACCTTATAATTAATTCTTTAAAAGAGGGAAAACTAAAATATGAAATAGCTTGACTATTTCAAATACTGCAGCCTGTGGCAATTTAATAGGAGAGATGAGGGTTTGTGTTCTGCACTAATATTCATTACGTTGACAGTGTTTAATAATATGCCAGTATTAAAAGTCATGTTTTGGATCAAGCTATATTAATCATGCTATACATCTAAATTATTGTTCACTATGTCTTTGAGGGATTGAGTACCATGGAAAGAATTATGTTCAGTTGAGTTACTGTGCTACTTTCTGTAGCTTTCTTCCCAAATAACTATTTTTTTTCTGTTGCACAAGTAAGAATAGTTTCTTGAATGAAAATAAAGTAGACTCATGTCTGGAACACGTATTTGTTAAACTGTGCCTGTGTTTTACATTTTTCTTCTTTCCCTTCTTGAAGTTAGGAAAATAATCTGTCCAGAATCCCTGCAGATGGGCCACTGCCAGTCAAGGCTGTAAAGAGCACATGTGAATGATATAAAACAGTATTTTTCTCAACCCAGAGCATTATTTTTTTGTGTGTGAAGACCATATATACTCCTGTATATGTATTCAAGGAAGGGTTTTTCTAGAGGTTGTTAGTATAAATAGGAAATCATACAGCTACAAGAGGTTTCCAAATAACCATCTTTGGTGAAGATGATTAATTGGTATTCTGCTTTATGCAAGAATACCAGGCTTCTCTTCCTCATTAGATAGCTATTCTAGGATGTTCTCAAGGAGTTTATGTAGGACAGTGAATGGGACACAATGGCAGGTTTCAGGAAAGTTTCCTAAGTAATATATCAGGATGATTAGAAGACAGAGTGGTTTAATCCTAATTCTTCCTTATGTCAGCAGCTGATGCAGACATGATAGCAGCTTTCAAACCTCAGCTTTGTCTCTTTCATGTAACTAGGCATCGCCTTTATTATCAAAGCTGTAGATTTCATTTTATTGTGAAATGTCCTCAGACGCATATGACGCAAGATGAGGCACAGATGCCATGCATCATCTGGCTGCTGAGTCTTTGCTGCAAAAAGGTGGAACCTTCATCTTGGTGTGGGTTGTAATGCTGCAGACAAATTAATTTCATGTTCGATGTGACAAGACTTGTCACCGACCAAAAATTATTTTCCATTGCCTTTTCTTTCTGCGTTAGTAACTTACAAGTTTGTGATTCTAGTGCCTGTATGTAGAATATAAATTAAATTAGTACTCCTAGATGCTCTGAAGATTTAAAATAAGCTGTAGATTTATGTACAGAGACACTCTCATATTTATGCACTCTTCTTATTTACTAAAGTGAAAGCAAGACTTTGTCTATGAAGTGTAATAAATTTGAAAAGTGTACTCATTGTTTCTTTATATATTCCAAAACTTTTTATCCCCAAGCAGTTATGTATTTTAATCTGGCTATTGGTAGTAACTAAATTAGAACAGACCCACCACTTGCGGGACTACCCCAAATCTCCACGGGAAGGTACAAGTCTGTGTAGCAATGTTGGATACTGGCCTTCAATAGAATGATTATATAACATCCTACAAAAATTCACAAGGCTATATTTATTAAACTTGGGTTTATATATATATATATTTTACCTATGTGTGAAGGACAGCTTCACTTATTAGAGCATTGACATGGAAAATAGACAATTTGTTACAAAAAGCAATTTAATTAAATTTTATATTTAAATTTGGGGGGGGGGGTACCTTGAAGGTTTCGTACTGTGGTAATAGTTGCTGTTGGGAGATTTGGATATAAAAATGTAAACTAATATCAGAAGACAGTGAAACCAGCCAAAAAAACCTGCCTTCTGCAAAATACAGTGACTGAAGTTACTGGAAAGTCAGCGATAATGGAGCGTTAGCAAAGACAATGAAGAAATGCAGATCTTCTCAAGCTGTGGTGATAACAAAGGTCCTTCCTATGGATGATAGTACACGGCTGAGCTGTGGATCCTTCTGCAGTCTGCTTGTTTAACCTATAGCTCAGGGTGATGAGGAGCTGCTGTCTTGACAAATCAATTCCTTCTGCTGATAAAACTAGGCCACTTGGTGCAAGACTCCCTGGCAGGAGAACAGTGTTGTTAACTATATATTGCAATTACACAATTAAACACAGCAAAACTGATGAACCAAACTGATGTTTTTGTCATCCTGCTGCAACTAACAATAGAGGGAGTGCATTTCCAACACCCTTGTATGTGGCCAAAAAATGAGATGAGTTTGTTTGAAACCTCTCCAAGGATGTCATTAGTATGTGGCGTGGATAAGGAAAACAGAACAGCATCTTCAGTTCAAACCCCGGTAAACTTGACTTGACAAGTTGACAGAATAGGCCTTTTCCCACAGAGCCCTGCCTCTGGCCTTGGTGTCAGCGCAGACTTTCCTTGTTCATGAATAGTTGGTACCAAGAGAAAACAAATGGCTCCTAGAACAGGAAATATTTAGATGAAACAATTTCAGGTAGCACAGTGTGAATGAATGCATCTAATTGTTTTCCTTCTCCCATATGGCTTTAGTTTTCTTTAATGTCTTTGTTACCAAAAAAAAAAAATCAATCCAAAAGAAATGCCTTTAAAATAAGTAGTTAAACATTTTTGGCATTCAATGCACTGCATGCTTCTGTTACACAGTAGCTATTCACCCACTGTTTAATATGCAGTAGCATTTTAAAAGCCAGCCATACTCTCCTTTCTGTCACCAACCATCTGAATCAATCTACTGTAAGACTGCAAAATACCTCTGGCTGTTTTCCTGACTAAAGCAAGCAATTGTGGGACAGACCTATTGTGCACTAGAGCTGCATTTCTTTCAAACAACTAAAAGTAACTTAGTTTACAGAAGTTCTGCACAAATAATGTCATGCAAGATTTGTGGAGGAGACAGTACCTTTTAACAGACTAATCAGTGCATTTGAGCAGAACAGACAAACCCTTTTAAAGTTCCTTGTAAGGAATAATATTAAACCAGTTTGCATCTGAAATAGGTTTTTGGTCTCATAATGAAAAACAATTAATACAGGCCGTGATGAGAACTGTTTTCCAAAAAGACTTGAAATTTAAACATTTATATAGGCCTTGAACCAAAATGGGAAATAGAATAATAAAATCTCAGTAGTTCTTTACACGTTTTCACTAGTTGATGATATCTGGCATGTCCCAGTCCCTTTCATTTGTAGTAAATTGTTCAGCTTTTGGAGGGGCCTTGTGAGAGTCAGAATATGTGAGTGCCTTTATAAGGTATTCATGAATATGTACACACTTACCAGTCCAGAGCTAATACCAGAATCTGGAATAAATTGCTTATAGTTCCAAACTCTTTTCATGGGCAGCTCAGTTCTGGTGGAAAATACAAGGTAGCTAGAGAAATTATTATGCTGCTTAAATAGCTCATAGGGTTATTATGGGATTTTTTTTGTTGTATGTTGAAGTGGTCAAGCTGTAAATTGCCCTGCACATAGACTATTTCTGTTGATTTTATTTGTAGTTACTCTGCTAACACCTGCCTAGCTGTTCAATCTGTGTAATTTGCTGAATACTCACACATCTGCATCCTTGTGGTTCTGCCTCTAAGTGAACTTGTTAACATCATAGCCATATAGACTCAAAATGCAGAAATTAAGCTTAAACTTACCTGTGTTAATCAAATCACAGCTACAGACAAGTTACTTTCTTTGATCAATAAACATGGATTTGAACCAGAGACCTGAATAAGGTGCAAGCAGTTCTAGCCCCTGCTAAAAAGGAATAAATGGTTTGTACATCAGCACTGCAGGACTGAGGCCTTGGGGACTGGCAGGCAAGGGCAATGTGCCCTTCTAATTTCCATGGAAGTTATGTTTTCAAGTTCAGCACTGAGTGTTTGCTGTTTATGTTATTTCCAATCAAAATGTCAGCATTTAGCCAAAGCTTCTGTAAAAAGCTGTTCAAAATGTAATTGCTCATCTGCTTAGAAAAAGAAACTTAAGTTTTGCAAATGCAGAAAGTAACTGTGAAATCCAAGACTATTAATATTTCAAAGTGTTTTGGTGACATAATAGATCATGAAAGTGAGGCTTGTTGGGTTTGTGATATTACGAGAAATCCAAGAAGTATTTATAGCTGCCTTCACACTTGACTATATTTTTATTGTATTGAATACATTGATCCAAACATAAATGAAAATGACAGAAAGCTATGAGAACATGAAATAAGAAATATTCTCTTTTGTTTCTGTCTCCTTTCAGCTTCAGTGTCTCATGCTTTCCACTTCTTCAGCTATCTGTCTGCCCTCCTCTACCCTGGCCCCCATTTTTTATACCTAGATTTATTGGTATTTTTAGGTCCTTTGAGTTCTTGTCCAATATTTCCTATTTTGAAGTGTGAAATACCTGTAATGCTATAGGGAATTTGTTTGGTCTGAAAACCAGTCAATAATTCAGTGCTTCTATGGAGCTTATTTGGACTTCCAAAGTCACTTCTTCAGTGTCACAGTGTTTACAGGCAGGCTTGAGCCCTAGCTAAGAGTTACTGTGGGAAAAATCCAAATCGGCCTAAGAAGAAATCATAGAATTGACTGAGAACTTCAAGCCACTCTTTGACTTTTGCTTCTAAATAAATTAGATAGGTTATAAAACCTGCCTTATGTACCTCTGTATGTCAGAAATGTAAATTATTCATTTTTTTACATATCATTACTCTTCTGAAAGGATTTAACATTATGTTCTCCCTGCTATAACAAATGTTCTCTTTTTTCTCTTATAAAATATAATTATTTAGTCCTGTCCCTAGTATTAGCTGGAAGAGGTCTGATGTAAACTCATTGACAAAAATGAGCACAGCAAAACCAAAGGAGTTCTTGAAATCCCAAATGTTCAGCAAGAAGATAAAGGCTCTTATGAGTGCATCGCAGGAAACATTCGAGGAATAAACATTGCAAGAGGTCAATTATCTGTCTATGGTGAGAAGATTGATTAATTCTTTTGGGTTTTTTTTTGAGTATGATGGTGTTCAGATGTATTTTGTAGATGAAGTCTATTAGCCCCTTACTGGAGATAAGAAATGTAGTTCAGGTTAAGCTGATTAAATAATGATTGTAGGTCTGCAGTGACCTTCACTGAATTACATCCTCAGCAAATAAAGATATTTTGCATTAAAACTCAGATTGAAAATGTGGGCTGTGACATGATGAAGTTGTAAAGGTTAATATAAGGCAGAAAGAAATCCCTAGTACATTTGCATGAAACAGGCAGAAAGATTTACTCTCAGTAGCTCACAGCAGCATAAAGCTGTGCTGTCCCGGATGCAGATCAGGGAAGGATTCATGAGGTTTTGGTTCATGTGGCTGTAAGATTATTTCACCTCTTATTCTAGCAGAACTGTATTGCTCCATAAACAGATGAGAGCAGAGCAGGGGAAACTCATTCCACTGCTTCCATCCTCCTTGTCTATAAGTGGAGAATAATATATCTGTGAAACTGTTCTCCTTTTCCTTTTCCCTTCCCTCATGCATTAATTTCCTGTGATGCAAGTCACACATGATGGTTCCTTATAGCCACAGCGAATTATATGCTCTTTAGTCCCATTGTTAATACTTAGAGAAAGTAACATATTTCAACATAAATAAGAAAGGAGATAATTTCTTTATCTCATAAATCTTTCAAAAGAGTGGGAATAAAAACCAACCCAACCCAAAAGCACGGCAAAAGTAACAGTGAGCAAAAATTACAAAAAGCTAGACTGAGCCTACACCTGACTAACATCCGTTGAGAAGACCTTGGAAAGTACTTTTGTTCTTTATAAGTAAATCTCTTCTAATGAAGAGATGCAGGCTTTGCTGATAAACCACCAGTCTCCTGCAGCCATGACTAATATCAAGATACATGCCAGGAATACAGCAGTCTGCTGCTCTTTTGAATATTTAATTGCTTCTTTGCTTTTGGAGGGTTATTTTTATTCTCGTTCACTAATTTTTGCAGAACATCAATCAAGCAGTTCCATTAAAATTAAGTTCAGTAGATTACCTGGACATGATTGATAACAGCATAGGCAATTACAAAATTATGATCAGTTAATGCAATCTAAAACAATGAGCTTATTAAATGTGTTTTGTAAATTAATTAATAGCTGTTCATAGTGAAATATATAAACAGCAGTCATTAAGCTTTTGCACAAGTTTGGTTTTTATCATATTAGGAGTGGGCTGGTATATTATCTGCATAATTGACTTCCTCTTGCTTAATTTCTGTGCTGCGGTGCTCTTGCTCAGTAGGCAGCTTGTCTTGAGGAAATAGGGTTTATTTCCTGGACATTGTTGCTTTGTGTCTGATACCTGGATCCCGTGCTTTAGGCTCTGAGTGCAATAAAAATGAGGTGTAATTAGAATCACTTCTAAGCATGGTGAGATGTATCCCAGATACTTCCCCATTCTGGGAAGCAGCTTGTTGGCATGGTATTACTCTGGTGTTGGACAATCTTGAAGTGCTTTGTTGGGACAGAGTCACGAGCTACCTGCGGAACCATGCTGTAGAGGAAGGCTTATTCTGCTGGTCTCAAAGGATAATGATTATCTTCTTAAAACTGAATTGCTCTATGTAAGAACTGCATATATGTATATATATGTATATACATATGGAGACTACAGCATTATGATTTAATAACCCAGCCAAACATTTTTCATAGGATGTTAGGACACCAGCCGCTCACGGTAGAGGCAGAGGGATGCAACCTATTATCTCACTTGCATGTGGCTTTTGCAGAGCTCATATGTGATTCCTGAAAGTTCTGCTGCTACACAGAAATGAATTTATGCCAATGTGCCACAAGTATTCAGAAGTTGTTATCCTCATCTGAGTAGCCCTAATTCTTTTGTGTATTATTTGTGTGGTAAATTACACCCAAACAACCCATGGTCTCAGATATGTGGGTAAAATAGAGGGGTAATATTTATAATCCATGTGTTTTATTAACTGACAAATGATTTTGAAATTTCTATTTTTGGTGCACAGATTCAAGTACCTTTAGAGGAAGACTGTTTCTCAAAAAGGAGTAGTTATAGTGCTTTCAGAGAGCATGACCAGAATTTCAGACATCTAAAATCATTGCTTCTGCAAACTTTGCCCATAAAAATGAATAATATCTAAACCAACTGCCTGCCTACCAGCCACTTGATCTCCAACATTTTTTCCCAAGTTAGTCCTGATGTTTAATGCTAAAGAATTGTTTTGCAGAATTTACTTGTGATACGAAAAGAACGTGTTGGACAAATACTAATTAGCCTTGCTCAGTTCATTAATTAATGGCAACATACCCCCAGCGACATCAGTTTTCTCCTGTTTAAAATGGTTTGCATATTCTTTTCAGCACTCCCTGAATGGGATAAAAAGATCCAAAATGCCTTTCTGTCTCTCTATGACAGTTTATTTTGGGAATGTAAAGCTAAGGGAAAACCAAGCCCTTCCTACAGTCAGTTAAAAAATGGCCAGCCACTCACACCAGAGGTAAGGTTCCTGATGGCTTTTTTTTTGCTTTCTTGCTCATCTTTTGGGTTAGTTTGTTTGGTTTTTTTTTCATGATTTAGTAATGACACTCATTCTACAGTGCATTACCTTTTTTCAGAAACTTAATTAAAGGTTAACATCAAAATGAATATATTACCAGCAAATCCTAGGAACAAAGCCTCGGTTCTTCGAGTTAATCTTTATTGAAAATGTATGGTATTGCCAGTTCATATAGAGATATGCCAATTTTCTCATATGGCTTCTTATAGAACTTCTAATTAGTACAAGATATGCCAGTAGGTATGGATAGGTTTAAAAATATAATTTGTAGTTAATGAAAGAAGGGTCTATCATAGAATCATAGAATAGTTAGGGTTAGAAAGGACCTTAAGTTCATCTAGTTCCAACCCCCCCTGCCATGGGCAGGGACACCTCACACTATCCAGAAACATTAAACACATTTGTAGACATAATCTGTAATTTGGGGAATTGATAAGATGCCAAATGACTGTTTGTGGAAGTGTATTTCAGAGCTGGCATTACAAAATTGCCTGTTAACTCGTGTTTTAATTCTGTTTGTGTTCTTAAGCTGTAGGCTGGATAGATCTTCGGTCTCATGCAGTATGGCAATTCTTGTGCTATCTTAATCCTTTAGCTGAATTAGCTATGAAAATCAGTTAATATTGAGATTAATAGTTTTCTGGCACTATACAGTGAAATAATAGACTAAAGAAAACTTTATAAGGAAAATGTGAATAAGTGAAAGAACTTTCTTAAAGGAAAAAGAAGGATCAAGTGGAAAGGGAAGTAGTGAAGTAGGAGTGCAGGAGGAGAGAGGCAATTGATTGAAGCTCACTTGTACCTGATCAGATACTTATGTAGACAGCTCTTTGAAATCCTTTGTCTCTTTCCAGGCAGTATAATAATACTTCTGTGGTGGCTATGCTTTGGCACATTTGTCTTCTAATCTTCAGTTGTTGGCAACCTCATGGAGAATGACTTCTGTGGCAAGAGGCTCTTTGCTGCGGTTGCCTTCTGCTGAGGCCAAGTTTTCCTCCTTTATTAAGCATCTATTCAGCATCTATCAGGCATAAAATGGCATGGCTCATCTGCAATGTATTTTTACTTGGTTGGAAAAAATAATCCTGTGATTAATTTCTATCTGTCAATAACAGATACAGAATAATTTCCAAAACATATGGGGTGAATTAGCACCTGCTGGGTTGCAGAACTAGGACTTGTTTGACTTAGTACTACTTCTTTGAAGCAATTGGAGTGGGGTCCAATCATCCTTATGATTTTCTGCTGGATTAGTCCTAAATGGAATCCAACTAGCATCTGAGAAGGCTAGCCAGAATTTACTTGGATTGAAATTTTCCTAAACATGATCTTATTGTCACCTCTTCCTCAGTAATATTATCTAGTCTTTCTCTTTGAAGACAGTGATATTTAGAATCTGTCACTTAGATTGTACAGTTTCTATAAAAAAGAATAAAACACTCTACAGATATTTTCAACCAACATTTTCACAGTACTTACGGTATATTGTAAATGGAATACTTCAGGCAACAAAACGTGGAATGCTATTGCTCAATGGTCAAAATGGATAGTTTAGGGGTGAAAGTACAAGGAAGGTGTAATAAAATATTCAGTCTTTCACAGCACCCTGCTCGCCAGAAGTATCATAGGTAGAATACTTTCCAGACACTTTACACCTTGGGGATGGCTCTGAAGATGTTGTCTACTCTTTGTCAAACCTTTATTTCTGAGCACCTAGTTGGTCATCCCTGCATTATTGCTGCTTGTGTACATGGCATGCTTTACTCTTCTTTTTGTCTGCGTAGCTCAAAAGAGCCAGCAGAGAATGGTGGGGAATTCAGCATGTGTATGAAACATGAGAGTTGCTTTAGAAGAGGGTTACACATTCAAAGGATGATTGTAAAAGTAGAATGTGTAGAGAGGATGGCAAACAGCCTGAAGGTAAAATTAAGTATGCAAAAAATATCTGTAGTGAGAGCCTCAAAAACCAGAAAATTTAACAGTGTATAAGTAATGTAAAGTTGTTAATTAGTTTGCAATACACCAGCCATACGACCGCAGGCTGTGCTCTCATCAAATTTCCAAGCTAAACAAGGTTGGTCTGGATCAGTTCTCGGTTGAGAGACCTCCAAGGAAAAGCCAGTGTAGAGAAATAGAGCTCCATGTCTCAATAGGTGGCACTCTGCAGGCACAGCAGGTGAAATCACCCCCAACAGGTTGTTAAACCGGCTTATCTGTGGCCACACAAAAAGTTAGGTTCTATAAGTTTAGCAGGTCACAAATAGGTCTTAGATGTTCGCAACTGTTCAGCAAAGACTGTACTGTATACTCAGTGTATGCTCCCATTAGTGGTTCAGAGGCAGTAAAGCCAGATTAAAGGAGCAGCATAATAGCAGTATCAGTTATTTCAGACTTGAATTTCGTGATGGTATTTATAATCCCTGTTGTGGGTTTCTTCCAAACTCACTGGTTTTGGGGGTCAGATTCTCCTCTCCTCCTCAGTGGAGCTAATACTGTCTCTAGAGGTTAGTAATTGTAAAATCACAATGTATTATCTCAAAGTTATGTCTATCGCATGAAACAGGCTTTTTTCTATTTGCCAAAATAGAGCAGATGAAACTCCTTTAAGTACAGGCAAACCTAAGCTCTGGTCCAAATTTACCTACTGTGTAGCTTTCTCTATTTTGGCAGAATTGCACTGAAGAAATTTAGTGCGTATAAAATTCAAGCTATGAGGGGCATGGTCTCCCTCCGATCTGAACGGCTGCCTGTGGGTTTCCAATAGGAATATAAAAGAGTTGGTTTTCAGTAGAGCTTTTTCAGTAGATCATTTTTCTGTGGCTTGTGATCTGATGACATTTGAAATGTTTCCATTATCTGAGCACCTCTGTCTCCTGTGGAGCTTTTCTGATCATCTTAGATCATCATCATCTGATTTATCTAATTGGATGAGGGGGGTAGGCCATGTTTCACCATGGCCTCAGACAGGGCTGCTGGTGCAGCTTCTTGGGAGCCATATGGAACATGCTCCAGGCTCCCAGTGTGGAGCAGCCGTACCTGCTTTATGGTAGCCACTTCAGCGTCTGCTTCACAATGAAGCATACCCACAGAATCACAGTTCAGCAAGCACAGAAATGCATGCCACAGCTGGAACATCTGGGCAAACCTGCCTAAGGCAATGACACTGCGACACGTGCCTCAGGTTCTTAGGAAGTTTGAAGCCAAGAGGTCTGAAAACATAACCATCATCATATAGTGAGGTTTACATCACATTTTATATTTCTGACACATTCATCCACGCTGCTTCCAGGTAAATTAACATTTCTGCTTCTGAATTACGACCAGGAGCACCAGTGTGATACCAAAAAATTTTGGGATTGTACATTCATTGTCCCTGTCAGTGTTTTTTGCTTATATTTCTTTATCAGGAAAGAATTCAAATAGAAAACGGAACTCTTATCATACCTATGCTGAATATGTCAGACTCTTGCCTCAATCAGTGCGTGGCAGAAAACAAGTGCGGCACTATTTATGCCAGTGTTGAGTTGCAAGTGATAGGTGAGTAAACGCCACTAAAATGAGCAGGTGCTGAGTATAAAAGGACACTCATTGGAGAAAAATTGAAATTAAGGAATTAGTAGATTACTTTCCACCTGGCAGTTCAAGTCTGATGCTATTTCTTTGCTGCTTGCTTTTCACCCACATACAAATGTTCTTTTAATTTTGTTTCATGACAGGCCTGGGGGAAGAATCTAATCCATCTATGGTCTTTTTTTTTTTAACACATACACACAAGTTTAATGAATGCTGTTTCTCACTTAGTATTTTGAGTTATTAATAGTTATTCTGCAGTTTTTAAGTCTTTTGAGAAAGCAAGAAAAATAGTTTTAACTATAAACAAAGAGCATATGGCAAATATGTATGCAAAAACAACGTAGCAAGTGATCTCATTAATGATTACTAATGCACATAAAATGGAATTTGTACATATATATATTCTGTTATAGATATTAAAATATAAAGTTTGTTCAATGGCCAAATACTAGTGAAACTAGTAAAAGACTTTAAGAGCACCTGTTGTATAGTTCTTGTGGTTTTTCCTTCAAGAGTGAATTTTCACATAAATTACTGAAGAAATAAACATATTTTCAGTAAACAGTGTCAGTTTTTGAACAGAAAGCCGTTGAAAATCTGTGATTATAACTGAATACTCTCTGCAGATGAGTACATGTGACTGGGATCAGGAGTTTGATGTTTATCCTGCTGACATAGCTCTGCTCAAGGTTCTTCGTCATAGATAGAGGTATTCTCCCAGCCTGCAGATAATCCTAAGGAAAAATTGTCAGAGCAGACAGTTTCTAAGTAGACAGAAGCAGAATAAACATTAAATAAGACACAATGAATTCCATTCTTTGGTCATTAAATACATCTTTTTTCTTAAATACATGTACTTTCGTCAAAACCTCAAGCACAAAGAAATTATTGGATTCACCTACTATGTAACTTGGAAGAATTTAGCAACTTCATTTAGTAGCTTGTCAGCTGCATACTGCTCTGCTCTTTCTTATTCTGTTTTCAGCTGCAGTACCTGATTTTTCCAAAAATCCTGTGGAAAAAAAAGTCTGTTGTTCAAATTGGAGGTGAAGCTACAATTGGGTGTAAACCAAGTGCTTCTCACAGAGCAGTTATTAACTGGAGAAAAGGCCCAGAGATTCTGCACCAGAACAAAAGGTACCATCATAAATCAGTTGCTGGATCGGTGGGAATTCTTTGTTTTAATAATATCATTTAAACACCACTGACACACAGCTAGCTTAGTATTTCTTTTGGCAGCTCATTGATGGAAAACTTTGATGCCAGAGGCCTCTTTGTCTTTAGTGGTGGCCATACAGTTCTGTGGATATAAACCTGGTTGAGAACAAAGCCAAACTGAATACACGCGGGTAATTGTATGATACATGTGTTTGTGTTCATCAGCAGTTAATCCACTGCAATGCTATCAGAACTGACTGTTTACCACACATAAAGCCGGAGTGAATCAGCTTCATGTAGGAGACATCAGTGGAGGCTTCAGGGAAGCAGACTATACCCCCAGGCTATGGCATAATTGCTTCACAGCTGTACAGGTTGTATAATAAGCCATAACTACATCAGCCTCCATATTCTGTCTCTTCTGTTTAGGCAGGATTTAGCCACTGGATCAGCATACTTGTATACTCCCCCAACAACTGGAATGGGGTTGCATGGTCTTCGCAGGGCTTTATTGACATTTTGTCTGCAATGGCCAGTAGCTTATCTGTGAGTTAACACAAACCATCAACATTATTACATGCTAATGTCAATTAAACAGTAAAGCATTAAAATCAAAAGCAACTTAAGTTGTGAACAGTATGCACAATATATAACTGTGATGATATTTCCATATTCAAATGTAGACAGGAAAATGGGCAACAGTGTCTAAGAAAGAACTGTAATCTTTATTAGCAACCCTTTTGTTAGCGTAAGAACTGACACATAACCACTGGAATGGTTATATGAGGTGCTTTATTGCAGCGCTGGGAAACTAGGGTTACGCACCCAAATCTGGCTTCAACCCCGTCACATCGCACTTGCAATTTATACACTAAGAATTTCATAGCTAATGCATATTCAACACAGATTACATCATTGACTAATACATATGCATCAAGGATTGCCACATCAGTCTACTACGACATCAGCCTCTTTTGTGCTTCCGCAGCCCCCCTCTGGTGGTCGTCCTGATGAAGTAAGGAGTCTTCCTCGGATGAAGTAAGAAGTCTTCCTCAGCTTGTCCTGTTCACTTTTTGTTCCTTGGACATGTCCCAACCATTATGTGGATGCCAGCATTCTCTTATTTTCACTTGACTACTCCTGGTACTTTCGTAAGTTCTGCTTTGGCAGAGTTTCACAATACTCCCCTAAATCCACCCATATACCCTTCCCCATATATGACTATGTGAGTTGCTTATCGTTATAGCTACCATTGTAATGCTTAGTTATAAAGTAACTAAGATACACAATAGAAGAATTTCAACTTGTTCTTAAACTTTCCTAATACATAAAACCCCTCTACTGATTAACAGATTTTCAAATATAATTATCTTTTCTCTTTGTACTATTGTTTCAACACACAATTTCACCTATTACTAACACTTTTAGTTTACAAATATAACAACAACATTGCTTTAGCCTACTATCATTTTCAAAGACCAAACCCAGAATTAGTAATTCAAAAAGCCCTGGAAATTGAACACCAGATTTTGTGCATAGGACCTCACAGAGGTTAGTTTGGGTCACATAAGACATAATTATAATACATTAAAACAACGTTATTTAAAACTGTGACATGGAGAAGTATTTCCCATGTTAGAGTAACGTACAATGCAGCTAAAAGTAAATCAGAGAAGTATTTGTGAAAGAAAGTACAAATCTGAGAAGTATTTCCCATATGTGCTTGCAATGAAACAGCAATATTTGGGTAAACAGCCCATGCTACAGGGCATAGAGAATTTTCCAATTATTTCCCCACTTTCACCAATAGCAGTTTTATTTTTAACTGCTCAGCTGATGATGAAAAATAATTTTCTGCTTAGTGTTCAGTCAAATCTTTATTTGCATTTTGATTGTACTGTCTATTCAACAAAGAGCTGCTCATCCTATCAGACACAGCCTATCCCTACAGTATGTAGAAAATATGCTCAGTATACAGTTTGCTACAGGTAGTCCCTGGATTTTCTGACATTGAAAAAAGGAGTGAGGAAAGCACTGTTTAAGACTTAGAATTTCAATAGTTGAATTAAGCCTAGATCTTGAGATTCTAGTAGCCTGATATTCCCCCATCTGATTTGCTTATAAAACATACTTACATACTGCATACAGTATTTACATGTGCTTCTGTATTAATTTACTAACAATAATTATAAGCGCATTGTAATTTTTGAGCATCCCAGAAGGGCTTCTGGCATTTAGCAGGAGTAAACAAAAGGAGGAGGATTTACACTGAGGCAAAGGGAGAGACTGTTTAAATTCTGTGTGCAAAATATTACCAGTTCATCCACTGATGCAAAGTATAATTTGAGGGTTTTTTGATTGTTAAATGACAAAATAGTTAATGTCACAGTTTTAAAGGAGAGAAAATAAATCATCTACATAGTATTTTTCCAGAGATCCTTGTGACAGAAAGCAGAAAATGAAATAAGGATTTGTATGGCTGTAATAAAAGTACACAGCTAATTAAAGTACTAAAATCACATATAACTTTGCTCCTAATAAAGAGAAGGAACCTGGTCTGCCTTTCTCTATATATATGATTAAACATGTCACATACAGATTAATTATTTTAATGAACTTATTTCTGCTCTCTTTTTATTGCCCAGCAACTATAATCTCTATGGACTCCTTTACTACCTTTAAAAAACTATAAAATAAGAAATTGGTGCAGTTAGAAGTGCTGAAAAAAAAAGCAAATACAAATCCCTTGCTGTTCTGACAGCAAAACTGTGATGGACACGTTGCTAAATAAATCAGATCACATAACTTCTTCAGAATATTATAGAAATTCAGTCTTTTGTTACAGAAATAGTGCAACTAGACCTTTTCTACCTTCGGCGATAAGAATATTCTTTCTTTTCCACATTCTTTCTTTCAGCCATGATAATAGTTTATTTGCAATAGTCATGCATACATGGTCACTGCTCTCCCTGATCATCTGAGTTTCACAATATGACAAGATAACACTGCTTTATAGTAATGTTAATTTGTAAGTATGCATAGAGAGGTGGGTTAACTAGGAAGGGCTAATTAATAGACTAAATTAAAGCACCATGAAATATTTTTTATTTCCTTTGAGGATTTATTTAACAAACCTTTTTAGGTTTATGAAGCTGCAGCATTTGGGCCCTGGATATTTGAAAAATATGTTAACATTTCCTGAGTCTGAATCTTTTGCTGTGGGCCAGAACTGGAGGTCCTTAGCCCTTGATCCCCTTTTCAGGGCACAGACAGTTTACGCCAGTCCTGCCTCTCTCTCGTTTTCTCTGCAGCTTGAATACATCATTGCCCAGATCTATGTAAAATATTTTATTGCAATTGATGCATATATGTAAATCCTAAAAAATCCCAGATAAATCAGGTTTTATATTAGATGGTAAAACAAAGCCTAAACATATCTGTACCAGGTCTGCTTACTGCTCCCAGTCTTCATGTCCCCTCTCCTTTGAGTATTTGTCCTGGGTTCAGCAGTAGCAGTCATTTTTCTCCTTCTTAGTAGCTGTTGCAGTGCTGTGGTTTTGACTTTCAGCCCGGGAACAGTGCTAACACTGATGTTCTTAGTTGCTGCCCAGTAATGTTTAGTCTGACCAAGGACTTCCTGAGTCTCATGCTCTGTCAGGGAGGAGGGGAAGCCGGGAGGAAGCAGAGACGAGACACTTGACCCAAAGTAACCAAAGAGGTATTTCGTACCACAGCATGTCATGCCCACTATATAAACTGGAGGCAGTTACCCAGAAGGGCGAGATCACTGCTCGGGTCGGGCTGGGTATCGGTTGGCCTGTGGTGAGCAGTTGTATTCTCTTCCCTTGTTATTTCCCTTATCATTATTATTATTGGTGGTAGCAGCAGTGGTTTGTGTTATACCTTAGTTACTGGACTGCTCTTATCTCAATCCATGCGAGTTACAGTCTTTTGATTCTCCTCCCCATCCCTCCGGGAGTTGGGGGGGAGGATGGGGGGTAGTGAGAGAGCAGTTACATGTCTGGGCTTAAACCATGATGGTATTCTACTTTAAAATTTTCAGAAATAGCTAAATTCCAGCTTCATTCATATGGCTCACCCCCTTAGTTACGGGATTTATCTTTGGTTCTTGTTACTTGCCGCCTAAGAGAGGGAATTCAAGGTTATCAGCTGCAGGAATCAAAAAGAAATTCCACAGTGGTTGGCTAATCCTAGCTACTTTTACCTGCTCTCTTCGTGTGATCCCGTGGTCAGCTTCTTTGGATCATGTAGCAGTACAGCTGCAGGTTTTCTTTTCCACAATTAACCCCCTTCTTTGGATCAAAGTCTTGAGAAATTGGCTTTCAGGAGCAACAGCACTTGGCTGGTGGGCAACTGTTTGAAAAGATTGTTTGCCCTTTGCCAAAGGTGTGACTTCTTCCTGGCATGTGCTGTGGATTTTAGCTCAATGTAGAAATGAAATGTGACAAAGAAGAACAAGCTTAATGTTCTGAACTCCAAGCCTGTAGAATTTGACATAGATAAGAGCTATTTTCATATATGGTCATATATTCTCAGCAAGTGCAACAGGGCTTCTCTTCACTTCTCCCTTCTATCACCTCACGTGTCCACTGAGGAAGAGTAGAAAGGAACAGTTCATATATTAAATAAAACAAATTTGCAAGTCTAGACACTGATCTCATCATAAAAATATGTCTTGTTAGTGCCTTCAGTGGATTCAGGATCAGACCCCTCAAGGGAAAGTTATAAAAATTCTTTTTGATTTAAGCATTTAATAAATGGGAATTGCAGCCCCTTTTGCTTTACCAGAGAGAGGTGCTATTCCCTCACCATGAGTTGAATATCACCAAACACTGTAGTGAATGCATACAAACACATGTGATTCACTCCACTCAGAATTTAAATTAGGATAGCTGAGAAATGAGGTAGGCTGAAAGAATGCATTACTCATACTTTCCATGCATTAATAATCAGTAATG